ACAGATGGACAGACACTGGCAGGGATGCTCCAGGGTTACTTGGTCCCGGCTCAGGGCAGGGGGCTGGATCCAGCCTCTCAAGGTCTCTTGCAGCCCAACTTTCTGTGGAACTTCCTCTGTGCCGCTGGGCCTGTCCCTGAGCCGCTCTGGGCCTCAGTTTCCCGTCTGTGCAATGGGCTAGTGGCACTGCTGGACCGTGGGGAAGTGGGGGAGGGTAAATGCCTGAAGAGTGAAGCATCCACGAGAGACAGGGGTGGGCCTCGTGTGCGGCATGGGGCACACGAACAGCCAGGCTGGGTCAGACCAGAGGTCCATAGAGCCCGGTGTCCTGTCTGCCCCGCCCAGGAGGAGTGAAGAGTATGGGGTAGGCGCCCCCGGAAGCCAGGCGTCAGGGAAGGGGGGGCCGTGGGGTGCCCTGCATGGGGCGCTGGGGAACAGGGTATTGGGGCAGCCCCCCCTGAGTCGCCAGCCCTGCCCTGGAGCGCCTGCCCCGGGCTGGAGGAAGCTGCGGGTGGCACCGTGTGTGCTGGGCCCACTGCCCTACGGCCGACAGCAAATGGTGCTGGGGGGTCGGGCCAGACGCAGCCCTCGCGGCACCTCTGAATGAGCCAACCTGGGAGTGCTCCGGGCACAAGGCAGCAGCATCTCTGGCTGCGCTCAGACTTCGCTGGCCTAGCCCCTGGCAGGGGTCTGGTTGGCCCCCTGAGCCAAGGCTGGGCGTCCTGGACCCGCTGTGATCGGACACAGCCCAAGGAAGCCGCCCCCCCCCTTTGGCCCAGCTCCCAGGGGACTCTGCCCAGCGCGCTGCAGAGGGGCCCTCGCTAGGGCTGTGTCTACATTGGCACCCCTTTCCGGAAAAGGGTTTATTTTCCGGAAAATCGCGTCTAGACTGGCGCTTTTCTCCGGCATAACCCCGAGCGGGAAAAAAGCGGCAGCCTTGGAAATGCAAATTCCCCGCGGATTTGCAATTCCGAAGTGTCTCATTCGCATCCCTTTTCCAGAAAGGGGTGCCAGTGTAGACACAGCCCAGGGCTTTGGTTTCCCTCAGTGGGTCCTTTGTCCTCGGCCGGGCAGCAGCCAAGGGCTTGCCAAACCTGATACCCCACAGGCAGCAGCTTCACTCCCCCTGCTCCTATGCCGTGAGCTGCCAGGAGACGGGTCTATTGAGGGGAGGCTGCCACCTGGGGCTGCAGCAAGAACCAGCAGGGGCAGAGCAGCCCTGGGGCTCCTGAACCTCCGCTTGGGTTCCTTCCCCAGGGCAGGTTTGTGCTCTGCAGGCTGCAGCGGGTCCTACTGAAGAGCAGCAGCCATTAGCTGTAAGGGCTAGAGTCACATAATAGAGGACGTCTAGACTACAGGCTGTTGTCAGCAGAGGGTTTCTCGACAGATACTGTCTACAAAGCCTCTGTCGAAAAAGAGCGTCTAGACGACAGCCAGTTCTGGCGACAAAGCAAGCCGCTTTTTCGACAGAGAGTGTGGATGCTCTTTTGAAAAAGCGCAGTGTGGATGCAATAGCGCCTTTTGGGGACAGAACTCTGTCGACAAAAGGCGTTATTCCTCGCAGAATGAGGTTTACCGCTGTCGACAAAACTGCCGTGTTCTGTCAACAGAACACAGCGGTAGTGTAGGCGCAGGTATAGTTTTGTTGACAAAACCCTGTAGTCTAGACACACCCATACTCACATTCCATCTAAGTTGTATTAAAATAGTGTCACACCAGGTTGTGAGAAGGGGATTTTGCTCTGATAGCTCCTCCACTGTCACCAGATAAAGAAACAGATCTCAAGATGGGTAGAGAAAACTTAAGTCACACCATCCTGTCTGGCACGAAACTGCTTATCCATAGTTGAAACAAAAGACAGGACTATGGAGCTCTTTAAAGACTAACAAGATGGTTTATTAGGTTTATTTGTGGGCCAGACCCACTTCCTCAGAACAATATGTGGAAGAAAATCGGCACAACCATATATACCAAAGAGATACAATCAAAAAAATGAACTATATACTAAAACTATATACTATAAAATGAAGCAATATGCATGTTTTAAGGTCATTGAGGGAATGATCAGTCTGGCTGAAATGGCAAGCAACAGCTTTCTCTCTGTGAGAGAGCCTTAGGTCTGTTTTGTGGCAGATAAGGAAGCAGAAAATGCTTTCAGACATAGAGCAACCGTTCCAGACTCCTGGGAGCAGGCAGGCAGGGTGACATGGTGCCCTGTCGTTTTACGGAAGTGTGTTTTTTTATATAAATATACATAACTCAAATAGGCTTTATGCAAATTGGGACAAGTGATCTATCATTGAAGCGCGTGTAATCCCCTGAATGTGGCTGCGCAATGTGTGTGCGTGTATCATTCCTCTACGTGACGTTAGAAATACGAAGTGGAAACCAGTTTATGAATCTAGGTCTGCTGGTGCATTCTGGCCTATTGACCGCGGGTGCAGGGGGTGGGGAGGGGGCAAAGAGGGTAACTGCCCCAGGGATTCAAAAGGGCCCAGGCTTCCTGGCCATGGTTACTGTGGTGCTCGGAGCCCTGGGCCCTTTAAATCACCACGGGAGTGGCACGCTCCAGGCAGTGCTGAGGGCTGCGGGGGAGGGGCTGGTGTTCCTGCCCCAACCCTTCCACCTGAGGCTATGCCCCATCTGGGAGCACGCAGCCAGCCCCTGGGGCTGGAGCCCACCTGGAATGCTCTCTTTTTCCACGGGGGGTAGGGAACGAAGCCGACTGCCCGCCCTGGGAAATGCGATGTAAGAACCGGGAAGCAAACAATAACGGTCCTCAGCTGGCGTCACAGACTGCTCCACCCGCCAGGACACAGGCAAGGAGCTGGAAAGCCAAGAACTCTAAGGAGGGGCGAAGCTGCGAGACCCGGGGCCGGGGAAAGATCGGCTCTGGCCCGAGAAGAACTGTGCCTGCAGGAAGGGCTAAGGTCAGAAATTCCGATTTGTACAATTTCTCTTTGTGTATGAGGCTTGCCTGTCCGGTTTTGTTTTATTTTGGCTCCGTGACTTAGTTGGGTCCATCTGTCATCGCTCGCAACCACTGACATCCGGCTTCCTATACATCATAACATCCCTTCTGTTTATTAGCAAACCCAGTGTAAATAAGTGCTGCCAGGGACAAAGGGCGCACAGCTGTGCGTAGCTCTCCTTCCCGGCTAAAGAGAGTGAACTTTATGAGCTTTCTCTGTGTCAAATGTTTACCTAGAGTAAGACGGATTTACGTGGGGGGTTGGCCCTTTGTGGGTGTGGACCTGTGTACCGCCCCCTCTGCGGCTTAATTTTCTAGGAGCTCAGAAAATCCCGTTTCCTCGCGCCTGTCTGTCTTGGGACACTGAGCTGCAGGGTGAGAACTGGCATGCTAGCGGGGGTCTGTCTGAGCCCCCAGCTCCAGGAATCATGTGCAGAGCTTGAAGGAGAAGCAGCTGCTGGACTGGAGATTGCAAAGGGAGCCCTGTGGGGACACAGTTCCGTATTTGGGGGGAGAGAAGGCTGATGGTGACGGCACTCCTCCTATTCCAGCACTGTCTCTGGGGACGGTACAGCAGCTACTAAAGTCAGAAACTTTTGCAATAGCCGGTCTGGATATTTTGCATCCAAGAGTTTCAGAAGAGCTGCCTCTGGTGGGGGCACTGACTCTGAAAAGGCTTTGGAGGGCTTGGTGACTAGACAGCTGCACATGATCTCTCAATGCAGAGCTGTGGCTAATGGGAACATGGGCTACAAAACCAGGGGAGTCTCAAGTTGGAGTAGAAAGAGAGGTAATTTTACCTCTGTGTTTGGTGCTGCTAGATCCCGGGTCCAGTTCTGAGGTCCACTACTCAAGACGGGTGTAGATACCCTTGGAGACAATCCAGATGAGAGCCTTGAAAATGAGTAAAGGGTTAAAACCTGCCTCGTAGTGATACACACAAAGAGCTCCCTCTGCTTCGTGTAACAAAGAGAAGGTGAGAAGGAGACTTGACCCGTCTCTAAGTACCACGTGGGTAATCAGTGCTGGATAATGGGTTCTCCAGCCTCGCAGAAAAGAGCTTAACACCATCCAGCTGAACTGAAGCTGGAGAATTTCACTCCCGAAATAAGGCACGGGCTTTAACGGTGAGAGTAACGAACCCTCGGACAATTTCCCCGAGTGGATTCCCATCGCTGACAATGGAAAAGTCGAGGCTGGATGCTCTTATAAACTGATCTGCTCTAGGAATTATTTTGGGGACGTTCCTGCTCAGAGGTGAGGCTGGATGACCACAGTGGTGCCGTCTGGCCTGGAAATCTACGAATCAGGCATTTGCCCAGTGTCCGGCTTTCTGCTACTGGCAAGGCTACTCCCGGCCGGTTTCAAAGCTGGGCGCAGAGTTCACCATTTCAGCAACTTCTGTCTCTGTAATTCAGAACGGAAGGCAAACTTGTGACTTTCCTGTTCTCTCAGGGCACAGGTTCCAAACAGGGATGCCAGTGCTGGTTTTGAGATGCAGTTCACCCTTTGCAGGGGTGCAGCACAATGCCTGTGTGCAATCTTGCATGGACTAGACTCCACTTCATTGCCCTTCTCCTGTGCCTTAAAAACCCAAATCCCATAGAAAAGTAGCTGAAAACCCAGGGCGTATCTTTACTTCAGTGCTAGAGATCGCTCTTCTGGTGTTTGTTTTAGCTGGTCTAGTTAAGACCTGAAGCAAAATGCAGGACAATGTAGCACTTAAAGACTAACAAGATGGTTTATTAGATGATGAGCTTTTGTGGAGCTTTCGTGAAGCTCATCATCTAATAAACCATTTTGTTAGTCTTTAAAGTGCTACATTGTCCTGCATTTTGCTTCAGCTACCCCAGACTAACACGGCGACATTTCTATCACTATTCTAGTTAAGACCCGTAAATCAAACGCTGAGGTCAGCTCTGGCCAGCGCCTTTACTCTTGGCAGTCGGGAGGAGTAAGAGAAACTGATGGGAGCGTGAAGACGGTGCAAGGTTGGTTTAAGGTAAGCCGACGCCAGCTATGAATTCTATGTAGTGGAGCTGCGAACCTTAACCCGACCTTCCAGGTGTAGTGTAGCCCTGGCCCCAGAGTTCAGTCTCCACAGATTCTCAGCACGGACTATCCAGGTCTGCCTCCCCACCTTCAAGTCCCAAAAGGAACCAAAGAAACGAATTCAATGACTTATGATGCAGAAATGAATAATCTAGTTTTACAACATAACCGAGCTATTTGATAACCCCCCGACACTGTCTCCACAGTTCTAAAGAGAAACCAACAGCAAAACAGGAAGAGTTTGGTCCACACTGAACACAGTAAGAAGAAACTGAGAGACCCCAAAAGCTTAGGGTTAGTTCACCCAAGTCTCTGGGAGCGTCTCTGATCACCAGAACTGCACCATTTGCTGAGTCTGAATCATCTTCCTACCACTTGCTTGTAGGGATCCTCAGTTGGAATCCAGGCTGACTCTTCCGCTTCTGCGGATCCTGTGAGCCAGCTACTCACTGGTTAACCAGTCACTCGGTTAAGGCACAAGGGCATACTTTAAAGCAGTGATTCCCAATCTTTTTCCCATGGAGGAACCCCTAAAATAATTTTTCATATCCCGAGGAACCCCTACCTATGAAAACGTTTGCTTGGCCAAAAAAAGTTGACAGCAGGGAGCGCAATTCAATTACTGCTAAATTATTGTCAAGAAAATTAATTTGTAATTAGCTGTTATATACAGGGCTTGACGAACCGCGGCGAAAGCCGCTCGCCAGCCCCGCACGGCGCATGTGCAAGAGCCGCATTGTGCATGAGTGCGCCACCGGTGAACGGGGCGCCGGGCTGAAATCTACTCGCCACGGGTGAGTAGATTCAATAGATTGTTGACCCCTGGTTATATATATATGTCAGCTTACACTGTAAGAAAAAAATAATTATTTATTCCACGATTTCTCGTGGAACCCCCGACGATGGTCTGCGGAACCCCAGGGGTCCACGGAACCCTGGTTGGGAAACACCGATTTAAAGGAAACCTTGGTTACAAGAAAATACCCAAACTGAGACTAACCAAACAGAAATGCCTCTTTCCCCTTTGCTGTATTCAAAGGAAAGCTGGTGACTCACGCGCCTTGAGACAGTGACTAGAACAGTTTGGCTAAAATCAAAACAACATTCCAAGCAGACAGCTAAACCAGAAGACCTTATTTTCCCTTCCAGTTTCCCTGGCTGCAATTCACATGGCCCACGTACTTGCCCTCTTACAGGGCTAGCACCATTACTACCTGCTGCAACATGCCTGCCCTCTGCTCCTTGCTCAGCTTCTTCCAGCTCACCCAGGGCCCCTAGAAAAGCAGCTGCCCTCAAGGAGTCTGACCCCAGCAACAGAATCAGACCCTGTTGGAGCAGACCCCAAACTACCACCCCCAACTCTGGAAGCTTCTGGGTGTGGAGGGCTAAATCCACCTAGCAACAGTGCCCCGGACCCTGGGTTGCATGTGCCTGGGGTAAGTGGATTTAAGTGGTGACTAGGTTGCGGGGGTCCAATATGGTGCATGTCTTACGTTGGCTCCTCTGCATTGGGAGAATCCCCCCGGCGGGGACTGAGCTAGAGCACAGCACCACTGTGCTTCATGGCACGTGCAGTGCCGAGCGTGCTCTGTTTCACGCTGGGCTCTTTCTCCCCCCACATTCAGCCTCCTCCAGCACTCTCGGGAGACGCGCTCCCAGCTACACGCATGCAACCTTGGTTGGTTGCTACGAGGTGGACTCGGAGGCCACCAAACCAGAGCCCCACTTGTTCTGCCCAGGGACTTTGCTCTGGCAGAAAATGAGGCCCTGGGGGAGAAATCCCCTTGTGTGCAAGCAGTGAGGGCCTGGCCAAAGGCAGAAGCCAGCATTTGTGGTTAATTAGGGAGCCGAGTGCTGGGCATGGGGGTCCGACGGGGAAGATCTGTTGGAGACAAGGAAAGAGCCGCGGTCTTGATGTTGGCTCTTGAACTGACCAGGATACGTTTCCTTAGCAACAGGACTGCCATGGAGGAGCTAATAGGACAAGGATTCAGCAGGCTTCTCCGATGCATGGCCTGAGCAACAAATATTATGGGGAAAAATCCAGCTTTGGTGACACCAAAGCATTTGGAAAATGTGTGTCCGTTTCACTGCATTTGTGCTGGCAAACTAAACCAAATTCTGACATTTTCCAAAACATTTCAGTTCCGTTTGAAACCACTTTTTGTTGCAAAATCTTCCATTTTATTATTAAAAACCATTGTGAATTGAAATGAAACATTTAACTGTGGGGCATCCCCCCCCCCCCCCTTTTTGATTTGTTAAAATGTTTTAAAATGTTTGCTTTTGGGTCAATGTGAAGTAATTGTTTTCAATGTTTTGGAAGTGTCAGGGAACAACAAAATAAATTATTTGCACAACTCTGGGAGAGCTGTAGAAAATAGAAGAAATGCACTTAAGCATGCCAATAAGATATATGCTGAAGTGTTTTGCTAAGCTGGAACCTAAGTGCATAGATGGCACAATGACGAACCTGCTGCAGGAACCTTGGTAGAGATATTTAATGCAGAGGGCAAGTAGCCCAGAAAAATATGGGACGTTTTAGCAATGGAAAAACTAATTGGCCTAAAACCCAATCCATTCTTCAAGACCTTGGATACTGCTTGAGCCTTCTGAAAGTGAAGAGAGACGCTGCCTGTTGACGTTTTATAATTTACTATTTGGCTGGAGTTCCTCTTTTGGCTCATGGAAGCGTTCAAAATGGCCTGAGCTGGAGCCAGGTATCTTAACCTTTGTCTTGGCTTGTAATGTGCTTAGTGAAAACACGCAAGATTATGCCCTTGTGAGTCTGATAAAGATATTCACAAGAGATACAGAATGCCTCTTTTGCAAGCAACCTCCTCCTGCCTTCCGCTCTATTAAGGAGGAATTAAAGGGCAGTGTCCAGCAGGAAGTATTTTAGAGCAGGGTTCAGCTGTTACAAGCCCCTCCAGGAATACCAAGATAAAACTTTCTAAACCTTTCATCTCCTTTTCCTTGGGTTCATTGGGCTTTTGCGTGTTGCTCATGACATGCCTGTTCTGCGGCCCCCAAACCCACCTCTCTAGAGTAGATGAGGAGCCCCCAGCCAGCCAAAGCTTCCACCCTTGGCAAAAGCGCTCATGGCACTGACCGCTTCCAGCCATTTTTACCCAGAAGTGCTAGGGTTCCAAAGCCAGAAGGGACCACTGCGATCATCCCCCTGAAGCTCACAGGCCAGAGACCCACCCTGCAAGAATTTCCAAAGCAGATCTGTTAGAAAAACGTCCAGTCTTGTTTTTAAAGTTGACAGTGTCAGAGAATCAACCCCAACCAGAGCTGCCGCATCCATGCTGGGTCGGGGTGGTTGTCCTCCTGGGCAGAGTGTCATTACCGTCACGTATGAGGAGTTGATCATCTCCTGTCTCTCAAGCTTTAGCTGTACGTCTGTTACTAGCAAATTCTCCTTTCTTCCGTTAGGGGTCTCATTTTTAAAAACATTTTTCCATCGCTTCCTTTCACTCCTCCACCGGAGTGGGCGGGTTTTCAGAGGCACGGACTTTGTCCTTGTGGCTTGTATCTCGTTTCCTCCTTCCATGTAGCTGATTCCAGCATTCCTTGACACAGGCCCCTTTGCTCGTGTTACCTGCACGCTCCATGGCACCTCCCTGTAGCCCTTCTGTGGGCTCAAGGTGTAATCTGGTGGCATCCCCAACCCGTTCCCAGTCCCTAAGGCTCAGGGCCACCCACACCCAATTCCTAGGGCTTAGGGCATAATCTTCTGCGGTTTGGTGGGGCCTTTTACTAACGAAAGAGTCTTGCACAGTAATATCCTTAGCCCCTATTTATGAACAGTTACTAAACCAGAACACAGACGCTTCCCTCCCTCTGGGGCACCTGGCGCTGGTCGCTGTGGGTAGACAGGACACTGAGCTAGATGGACCATTGGTCGGACCCAGTCTGGCCGCTCTCTGTTCTGTTCTCACGCACACAGTGCTCTCTGCTCCCAATGAGGCAAGACACTTTTCTTGGGATCCAGTCGTCTGGGGCACTTGGAGCTTTGGCACAAGGTTTGAAACTTGAGGCCTGCTCAGCTGGACCTGAATCCACCATTCAAAACTAACGTGCAATAAAATAAATCTCTGACCTGCCCTAGCACACTGCCAACCAATCGATTACCCGACCTCCTTGGTTGATTTTAATCTTGCAAAATGAATTACGCAACAGACAGAAACAATCAAAGAGCCAAACAGATCCTACAAGAGAGAACTAAGGCCCACAAAGGCAGAGCAATAGAGAAGTGCCAATTTCACAATCATGCGCTGGGAAGTGGTTTCTTGCCAGTTTGGAGGCAACCAAACAAAACTTCCTTTAAACTTCATAAGATCGTCTCTGGTTTCTTTGTGTGGCGGGGGGGGGACACACACTCTTAGGCCAGGAGCAGCTTTTAAGCAGCTCAGTATTTCCTTGGTTTGATGTGACTGAGCTCACGTGTGATTTTCTGCTCCTTGGCTCGTGCCTGCGGCTGTTCGACTGTGGCTGGAGAAAAGGGCCCCGACCTTACACATGGACAGTGGTGACTGCTGTGGTGGGACACAAGGGGCACCCCTAGCCGGAGGGAGGGCTCTGCCTCTTCCCACCCCTCCACTCCTTTCCCCAAACATCTGCCCCTGCTCTGCCTCTCCCCTTCCCTGTTCTGCACTCTCCCCCTCCCCCGAGCCATGCAGCCCAAGGCACTAGTGGGGGTTCGTGCCAGCAACAGGGGTCCCCCCACTGGCGGTAGAGGCAGGAAGCAGAGTAACCCAGCATCAGTCCACCCTGATCTCTGGCTCCCAGTCCCATCACTCCACTTCCTGCCACCGGTGACTGTGGGGGAGGGAGGGGGGCCCCTCCCCAGAGTGACAGGGCTGGGAGCCAGGGAGTACGGAGGGCTGGGGCACTAGGCCTTCTGCTAATGCCCTGGGCCATCTCTGGGGGCTTGTCTGCCATTCCCTGCTGGGATTGGATGGGACTTTCCTTTCACTGGAAAAACTTAAAAAACAATGAATGGTCTTGAAGCACCTTAAAGGCCAACAAAACCTATTGATGGGATCTTGAGCTTTCGTGGGCACAACCCACTGCACCCACGAAAGCTCATGACACCGTCGACATGTTTTGTGGGTCTTTATGGTGCTACCCGACTATTGGTTGTTTTTTAAGGTTTTCCGGTAACAGACTAACTCAGCTCCCCCTCTGAAGTTTCTCATTTCACTGTTTCTCATCAGCTCTTACCTGTATTTTAGCATCTTCCATCCTCTCCTCCTCACCAGGACGCAATCTCCATTCATTGGCCCTCCCCCGAGGGATGTCTCTGGCCGATCCATGTGCCCCTCTGCACCCGTCAGCTTTCCCCCAGCCCATAGTTTAAAACAGCTCTACGACCTTTTTAAGTGCCAGCAACCTGGTTCCATTTTGGTTTAGGTGGAGCCCAGCCTATGGGCTCCCCTGTCTCAAGAGTGTCCCCTAAACCCCCCCTCTATAAATCAGCAGTCTCAGCCATTCATTGAGATCCTGCAGGCCTGTCTATCTGTCCCTGCTGTGGAACTGGAAGCATTTCAGAGAATATGACCATGGAGGTTTAGAAGTTGGGCTAAATGTG